CCGTCATCGTTGCCACTATCGTCACCAGCATCGCTACCATCATCATCGCGTCTACCGTTGTCGACGTTGCCACGATACCGCTCCAGCCCGAGTCGCCGACTCGCACTGAAGTGCCCGTTGGGAAGTACGCAGCGGTCAGCGCCACAGCCACCACGTCGGCAGCGCCAGACTATCTTGCCGCTGCGCTTGCGAGCGTGCGCGGGATAGCGCGGCCGCAGAGATGCACCAGCCAACTCCAAGCAAAAGTCTCTACCCCCTGGAATTAAAGTACCATTCTTCGTATTGCAATGTACGTATGGTTCTGCCCAATTGTCCACTCTGAATATGAATCCGTACCACCCCAGGCAAGTCGGTATCGTTTCCCCTCATCCTCTGCCAAACATGAGATGCGGGCGCACTCGTTTTTCGAAAACATCAAGCATGTTCAAGAATCGCTTGCAACAAAGGGACGACGAGCACAAGCGCGCGTCGTCGCGCGCGGATGCCAAACTCTTTTAACAGCCTTAGGTGGCGCAAGGATTTTAAATTCGAGTACCCCGAGAACATTTTTAAAACATAAAAAACTGCTTCGCAACGAGAAATATAAAACAAGCTTGCGCCCGCCCTTTTGGCAAGTCCTTGAGCGAACCATCGGGTTTTCATTTTCTCTTAAATTGCTGCCAGGCGGGCCTTTCGCGCGCGCACGTCGAAATCGTTCGAACGCCCCTGCGCGCGTGCTGTCGCAAGATTCCTTTGCAACACATGGGACGAAATTGGCACGCGCGCGTCGTCGCGCGCGCATGCCGAAATTCTTCAAACATGTTAGGTTTCGTCCGGATGTAAAAATCGAGAGTCCCGAAAGCATAGGAAAACAGATAGCTGTGCAACGCCAGTTTTCGAACAAGCTTGCGCTCGCATTGTTGCGAGTTCGTGAACAGCTAACAGTTATCAACCTGTTCAATGAATTATTCCAAACGGGCCCCTTGCGCCGCATGTCGAAATCAGTCGAACGCCTTTGCGCGCGTGCTGGGGGGGGCACGATCCGTGTCAAGTAATGCCATGCGGGCCACTCGCACGTCGGCCGCGCGCATGTCGAACTTTTCCCAAGACCTTTATCACCGACGCGAGAACGCCGTCATCGTCGTCGGCGTGATCAGCATCCGCGCCGTCATTGGCCTTGGCATTCGTCGTCGCCATCATCGTCACCAGCATCGCTACTATCATCATCGAGTCTACCGTTGTCGACGTTGCCATGATATCGTGCCCGCCCAAGTCGCTGACTCACACTGAAGTGCCCGCTGGGAAGTGCCCAGCGGTCCGCGCCACCGCGGCCGCGTCGGTTGCGCAAATTTAGCCTGCCGCTGCGCGCGCCACCATGCGCGGGCTAGCGCGGCCGCAGAGATGCATTAGCCAACACCAAGCACTCATCGCAGTCGCCGCCGCATGGGTTTATGCAAACCACATTGCGGACTGGTGGGTGGGAGGATTGCGCGAGCAGTGGTGTTGACAATTTCCAGCTCAGCAGGGTGATTTGCACCACATGATTCTCTAGTGAAAAAAGAATATCGTTCATGTTACGATGAATACACACCTCTCCATGCAGGCCAGTGTCGACTTCTCCCTTTGTCATCCCTGTCAAATAATGCCGCGCGCGCGTTGGAATATTCGGCAATCCTTGGCAACAGATGCGACGGAGTGGACACGCGCGCAGCGTCGCGCGCGCATGTCGAAATCCGTAGAGCACAGACCGTCGATTCCGTAATGGATTCAAGATCAAGGTTCCCGAACAAATCAAACAACCAGTGGTGTGGTATCCTGTTTTTTGGGTTTGGCAAGTCCGCCCGCCGGCGCGCGATTACGAATTGTTACGGAAACCATCGGTTTTCAACATTTTCGTGAAATCAGACCCCGCGTCTGCATTTCGAATCCAATCGAACGCCCTTGCGCTCTTGCCGGTGGGGGCACGATCCTTGTCAACTAATACCATGTGGGCCAGTCGCGCGCGTCGGCCGCGCGCGTATGTCGAAATCCCTCCAAGACTTTCATCACCGACATGTGGACACAATTGTTGTCATCGGCGTGACCAACATCGGCGCCTTCATAGTATGAGGCCTTGCCGTCGCCATCGCCACCAACATCGCTGCTATCATCATCGTGTCTGCATTTGTCGACGTCGCCATGGTACCGCGCCCGCCCGAGTCACCGACACGCACTGATGTGCCCTCGGGTCAGCGCGGCCTTCAGTTGTGGAGTCTCCAGCTGTCAGCGCCGCCGCGGCCGCGTCAGTCGCGCCAAACGAATTGGCCACTATGCGCGACCTTGCGCGCGCTAGCGCGGCCGCGGCGATGTGCCAGCCAGCGCCGGACAATCATCGCAATCGCCGCCGCATTGGATTTGCAAACCAAGTTGTGGGTGGGTGGGTGGGGCGATTGCGCGAGCAGTGCAATTGACATCTCCCAAATCCGCAAAGTGAAATGCACCACATATTTTGAATCACGTAGATTGTTCCACATTTTCTGGACCATACAGATTGCACCCCACATATTGTACCACATGGAGTGCACAGCATATATGGCACATCGTAGACTGCACAACACAGATTGCCCACCATACGCTGCACCACAAAAGTTGCACCTTGTTGGTTGCTTGACATAGGTTTCGCCACATCGATTGCTCCGCATAAGTATCGAACATTGTGTTGTGAAGGCCTTACGGCCAGTGCCGCCGACCCTGAAGGTTTTGGCAGTCGATGGCGACGGGATGTGTGATCACAGGAAGGAGCTAAAGGACAACGTGACAGGGTAGGCGGAGGAAGTGTGTGAGGAGGAGGAGGACGAGGAGGAGGAGGAGGAGGAGGAGGAGGAGGAGGAGGAGGAGGAGGGGGAGGAGGAGGAGGAGAGGGAGGAGGAGGAGGGGGGGTGGGAGGAGGAGGAGGAGGAGGAGGAGGAGGAGGAGGAGGAGGAGGAGGAGGGGCCCTGTCTTTCAACGGGCGCCTCGCGCAGCGAAGAGATCCCTGCAAGGACTCGTGGTGGGGGGGCTTCGCACGGGTGTGCTGCACCACCGCTGGCACAGCTTGGCTCTGCTGTGGTCCTTGTCTCCACCTCCGCCCCAGTGGCCCCCACGCCCAGCGAAGGGAGGAGGTGGCCAACCCGGAGAAGGCCACCCGCCTCCTGGAGGCGTTGGGCCCGTGCCCTCGGCAGGAGGTCGCTCCGCCTGGCAGGCCCTGCTCGCCCCGGCGCGCGGGCCGGGGAGCCTTATGCTTGGGGGGGGGGGCCGCGCCTCCCTGGCTCTGCGCGGGCCTGCCGCGCCGCTTCCCCGCCCTCTCGGCCCTCCGCCCCTCCCCCCCCTCCTTGTCGCGGGGGCCCTGTGGCGCCCTCCCCCCGGTGCTCTCTCCCCACGGGGCCCCGCCGCCCCGCTCGGCCCGGCTCCGCTCGGAGTCGGCCCCCCCGGGCCTCGGAGAAGGAAGAGGCACGCAGGCCGCTGCCCTTTCCTCGTTGTCGCCTTTTCGGGCCTCCTGGGGGGCCCTCGTCGCCACCGCTGGATCCGCTTGGGGAATTCGGGGAATACCCTGACTCCAGATCCGCCCTGCTTTGGATTTTTTGTCCAACTTCAAGCTGCGTCGGGTATCCACCTATAAGATGCCGAAGAAGTAGGGCGGAAATTTCTGCACCCAGCGTAAAGTAGAGCGGAAATCCACAGAAGTAGGGCGGAAACAGCAGCAGAAAAGTAGGGCGGAAATTGGCATCAGCGGGGCCTGAAAAGTATAAGGCGGGAATTCCAAGCCCTACCTACGAATTTCCCCAAAGTAGGGCGGATCCGGAGTCAGGGTAGGGGTATCGCTACTCGTCGGTTTTCCCCTGGACCCTGCACCCCTCCCAGGATCCAGACCGGCCCGTCTCTTGAGGCGGATCTGGCCGTGGCGGCGGGGCACCTGCAGGAGGCTCAACGAGGAGGAGAAAACGCTGGGGAGGGCCGCCGCTGTCTCCACCGGCCCCTCCCTCCTACCAGGCGGGGCTCGGACAGCGGCAGAAATCGTTCGGGACGCTCTCGGAGCGTTCTGGAACGCTCTGGGACGGCCGCGGCTCCCGGTAAAGCTTCCAGAACCGACGGATCTCGGAGGGCTCCGACTCAGCACTGCTCGGCGTTGTCCCTGTGCTGGCCTCGTCTTGGGCGGGTGGGCGCCCGACGACTCCAGCGCCCCTCTTCCTCCTCCTCCTCCTCCTCCTCCTCCTCCTCCTCCTCCTCACATTCCTCCTCCCCTCCTCCTCCTCTGCCTCCCTCCTCCTCCTCCTCCTCCTCCTCCTCTCCTCCTCCTCCTCCTCCTCCTCCTCCTCCTCCTCCTCCTCCTCCTCCTCCTCCTCCTCCTTCTCCTCCTCCTCCTCCCCCCTCCTCCTCGCTCCTCCCAGCTCAAGCTCGACGATGCCGCCCCTGTCCTGGCCTTGCCGTGCCCTACGAGGCCCCTCGCGCCACCGCGCCCGGCCTCCCCCTCTGGGAGCGCCGGCCTTGAGGAGCGCAGCCCGCCGGGGGCGGCGCGCAGCTCGGCCGCCGCGGGCCATCGCCCGCCCGCCCCGGGCGCACCCCCGCGCGCGGCAGCGGCCGGCGAAGGCGGGCGGGCCGCTGTGGAGGAAGCCCTCGCTTCGCGATCGGTCCTCCTCCTCCTCCTCCTTCCTCCTCCCTCCTGCCTCCTGCCTCTTTCTCCTCCTGCTCCTCCTCCTCCTCCTCCTCCTCCTCCTCCTCCTCCCCCTGCTGCTCCTCCTCCTCCTCCTCCTCCTCCTCCTCCTCCCCCTCCTCCTCCTCCTCCTCCTCCCTCCTCCTCCTCCCTCCTCCTCCCCCTCCTCCTCCTCCTCCCCTCCTCCCTCCTCCTCCTCCTCCTCCTCCTTCCGTAGCCATTTTGGCTCAAGATGCTTTGTTCCGCAGGGGAACAAGTGGATACCGCTAGTCCGCGGCCAGTTTGCATTCCTTCCCCTGGTCAGCCCCAGGGCGAGCGCCGAGGTGGTCCGCCCCACCTCGGAGCGTCGGAGGCACACACCACGAGCCTGCGCAGGCCATGGGGCGCGGGCGCCAGACCTACTCGATTTGTGCGACCTGTGGTGGTTGGGTCTACGACTGGAAGCTGGAGAGGTCAGGTGGGTGGTGCAACAAGTGCCAGTCAGTCATGCCGGGGTGGAAGTCAATGGCCCCAGGCACGGCGGCTGCGGACAAGGGCAAGAGCACAGGCAAGGGGCCCCCCTGGCGCAAGCCGACGGCGGTCCACGGCACGCTGGCGGAGCTCAGCAGCATGCTGGAGCGCGTCGAGTCCCTCACGGCGCAGATGGCGCCGCAGGTGGACCTGGGGCCCGTCAAGGCGGTGCAGTCGCAGGTGCAGGCGGCTGCGGCGGCGGCGGCGCCCAAGAAGGAAGTGTCCAAGGAGCTCGAGCTGCGGCAGGCGATCAACAAGCTCAACCGCTGCCAGCTGGAGGTGGACAGCTCCGCGGCGGCCCTGCAGGAGGCGGAGGACCACGTCCTGCAGCTGCGCACTAAGAACCAGAAGGCCATCGAGGATGCAGCCGACGCGGTGCTGGAGCATAAGCGCGCGCTGGCGGCGTACCAGGCGGAGACCGTGTGCCAGGACCCCGAGCCGCCTCAGCAGGCGGACTGGCAGGCACCTGCGGTTGGGGACCTCTTCGATGACCTGGACGAGTATGAGGAGGAGGACAAGGCCAAGCTGGTCAAGTTCAAGGCAGACATGGAGGCGCTGGACAAGTTGCTGCAGGCAGCGGCTGGGCAGTTTCGGAAGTTCAGCGAGCTCAAGCAGCAGGCGGACCGTTTCAGACGACAGGCACAGAAGAAGCGTAAGACCACGGAGGACGAGACCAAGAACGACGCGCAGGAGGCCCAGGCGCCAGCGGCGTCTGGTGGGGGCTCCGCGGCGTCAGCTACGGCGGCGGGGACGGGAGGAGCCAGCCCTACCCAGCCGCCTCCCACGGAGGAGCAGAAGCGCGAACGGAAGGAGGTCATTGACAAGATCAAGCAGCAGGCCGAGCACAAGGCCAGGGGCGCCAAGGCCAAGACCGCCCCCACGGCGTACAGGGACGCGGTGCGGGGTGCAGAGGCTGATAAGACTCCTGGTGGCGAGCAAAGTCTTTAGCATCTTCTTCTCGAATATCACAGTGTGGGGGCCTAAGGCCCATAAGTTCATCACGGAAGAAGGCAAGCAGAAGGACATCATCATGATGTGCGAGACGCACGTGGATCGAGGGCGACTGGAACAGGTACGTGAAGTGGTAGCACGAGATGGCTGGAAGCTACAGGGCACGGCGGCGGTGCCCACAAAGCGGTCTGAGAAGGGCACCACGGGGGGCGAGTTCATATTGGCCAGGACTCACCTCGCATGCACTGGATACGACCTGTTGAGGAAGCGCATCGTGGACAACGGAGACGTCGACCCGTTCAGGGGCTTCGCGGCGCTCAACGTCCACACGCGCTCGGGCAACGTCATCCTGATCTCGGCCTACCTGGTTCCAGGCGAAGGCTTCACAGGGTCGAATTACCACAGGATTCGATCCCTGTCAGGTTTCATCAGATCTCTCACGGACCCATGGGTGGTCCTGGCTGATTGGAACATCCCAGCGGACAGCATGGAACGCGCTGAGTTACCTGGCAAGCTGGGAGGAGTGGTGCTACGACCAGATGTTGGCATCACATGTGACAAAGGCAAGGGAAGCCTCATTGACTACGGCATAGCAAGAGTGGACTTCGCCCCTAGGCTCAAGCTGTACGTTCAGGGTCGCGTGCCATGGCGTACGCATTGTGGGCTCCAGCTAACCATCGAGGGCACCAAGGAGAGCTGGTGGCATCGGAAGCTAGTTATCCCTAAGGCGCTCCCATACCAGGCGAGACCTCAGAAGGCGGCGGACCCTGACTCTAAGACGAGCAAGAGGAAGCAGGAAGCGCAGCGACGTCGGCAGCAGGCCCTGGAGGAGCACTTGCAGGAGGCGTACGAGGAGGCGATGATGCTCGAGCAGCATGTCCCCGACAGCCAGGACACACCGGTGCTGAAGATGCCCTACTGCGTCTCGGAGGAGCTCTGGGAGCAGGTCGGGCTCGTGGAGCACGAGATGGAGCTGTCGGAGGAAATGCGCATCATAGGTGAGAAGATGATCACCAGAGGTACGAAGCACCAGAAGGATGAGTACCAGTTGACGCAGCAGTACGGCCGGTGGGTCGCCAAGGTGGAGGAGGCGTTCATCAGGCATGAGCAGCTGGACGAGCAGGAGGCGCAGGGATGCCAGGGGCGCGCAGCAGGCTTTGGTATACGATGGGTGCGAGCAAAACCCACGCCAGGCAGAACTCACATGCGGTATGGCCCTGCGGAAGAATGGAGTATACTGGCAGCAGATCTGGTCAGATATCAGTCACTCTTTGCGAACGGCACCGACGGGCAGCAGCAGAGAATGTGCGTGACACGCATACAGAAGCAGCTTGGAGTCCTGCGAGGATTGCCGCGGAAGGACGCCTTCAGCAAGAATGTGACTGAGGCCAGCAGCGAGATGTACTTCGACATGGCATCTGACATATGGCAGTTAGACGAGGGGAAGCTAGCGAATCTGGTGACCCAGACAGAGAAGCACTTGGCGGTGGCGTCGTCCAGATCGATGACCACGGCTCGGAAGAACTTTGCTACCTGGGCAAAAAAGGTATGGCAGACCAAGGCGGGCATCCTGCACAGGCATGTCAAGCCCAAGGACGCGCCCCGCTATGAGATGGCCATCAGAGAAGACTTCGTCACAGCTGACCCCACCATTATCATGAACACGAAGGCAAGAAAGTGGGAGACCATCTGGACGGACCCTGTGGACAGACGAGCTGACATCATTGAGCAGTTGGAGCGCACCAAGCGAAGAGCGTGGGAAGAGGACCTGGACCCCATAGACATGGACATGCTCAATAGTGCGCTCCGAGTCACATCGGCATCCAAAGCGAAAGGTCTGGATCAGCTTGGCCCCACGGATATTGACAGACTTCCTGGCCAGGCTAAGCAAGAATTGTTGGAAATATTGCAGAGGAGCGAAAGTACTTTGACATGGCCAAGACAGCTATCAGCCACCAAGTGCGCGATGGTGGCCAAGCCTGGGCCAGGTGCAGGTGATCGAGTATTGGGTATGTTACCGCTACCAGTTAAGTTATGGTCGAGAGCGCGAGGCGGAGTATGTGCCTTGTGGAGTGCTGGGCTATCAGACCACTGGGACACTGCGATCAAGGGGAGCTCGGCGCTCAGGGCAGGACTCCTTCGGTCGATCTTGGACGAGACAGGCATCGAGATCGGCGCCTCGGCCATGACATTGTTGTTGGATATAGAAAAGTTCTACGACACGGTCTCGCTGGTCATCTTGCTGCAGATTGCGTGTGCGGCAGGATTCCCTGCGGTGGCAGTCGGATTGGAAGCGATGATCTTTCTTGGACCCAGATACTTGCAGGAGCGATCTGTCATCAGCGAGGCCATCTGGCCTACCAGATCACCGGTGGCAGGATCCGCGAGAGGAGTAACTCTAGCGAAGCTTTTTCTTCATCCAGTGCTTGAGTTGGCGCATCGAAGACACCCAACAGCAGGATTGTGGACGTTCGTGGACGACACGGTAGCAAGATGCGAGGGCAGTTCACAGACGGTGGCTGAGCAGCTGGTGGAGGTGTCGACGGATATATGCACTGGATTGGTGGAACAACGTATGACCATATCGAATAAGACCACGGTGATAGGCTCAGACTTGAAGGAGGCTCGGAAGACAGCTAAGCGATTACGAATACGTGGCATACCTGCTAAGGCCAGCGGCGTGGCTACGGACCTGGGCCTGGACACTGCTGCAGGACGTAAGCGGGTAGCAGCAAAGAGTAAGCAGCGGCAGCTCAAGGCGAGGAGGAGGTTCGCGAAGATCGTGAAGCTGAGAAAGATTGCTGCGCTGAAGCATGAGTCCAAGGGCCTCTATAACGTGGGCGCACTGCCGCAGGCGATCTATGGGCAGCAGACGTACGGCATGTCCAAGCAGGCGATCACCGTGCTGAGAAGGCAGGCGGGCAAAGTGGCAGGAGGCAGTGCAGGAGGTCGATGTCTGACGACCACGCTGGGCATGGAGCTGGGCCTGAGAGACCCCGCAGTTGATCTCAGACTGGGTGTGGTACGAGAATGGTTAGGCCTGTGGCAGAGGTTTCCCCACATCCATCGACGAGTTGCGAAAGCATGGCCGTTCATCAAGGCGCGTCTCCACAGATATGGCGACAAGAGATGGCGAGCTGTACGGGGCCCCACAGGAGCTCTGATGGCAACGCTAATGGATGCTGGATGGACACCCTCGACCGCCACTCAATGGCATCGACCTGGACCTGATGAGTTGGAGATGTGGGAGCTGCCGACCTCCGAGGACGGCAAGTTCGTGGCCACGGGCTGCTTCCAGGAGCTCCTGGACGACCTGGAGGGCGACCTACGCAGGGACCTCTGGACGGAGGCTGCCAAGCACGAGTTTGGTGACAACTTGCAGGAGGGCGGAGACCTGTGGCCCATAGTAATGGAGCAGCGCAGGTTCGAGCGCAAGGGGATGCTAGATCAGCTGGCGCTCAACGTGACGGTGGTCGCTGGCGGCCAGTGGCCGAGAGTCCGCTGCAGGGAAAAAGGATACGAAGTAACAGTCGATTGCCCGAGATGTAAACAAGCCCCTGAGAGCTTGAAGCATAGAATATGGGAATGTTCCAGGAACACTGATCACAGCGATTATAGCAAAACTGAGCCTTTGGTAGTTGCGGCTTTAGCACAAGCAGAAGCTGAGCCAGCTTTATGGCTCCGTGGTCTTCCCCCTACTCGCCTCACTCACCCCCTCTTTGACGATGGGCGGCTGGAGGGGCGGGAGCTTAGGCTGGGCGGGGAGGGGGACTTTGAGGCCTCTCGAGGAAGCGACGGGGTTTAAAAGGTTTACGACGACGGCTCGGGGGGGCGATTTTCGGACGACCCCAGACGAAGGAGATGCGGATCTTCTATCTGCTCCCTGAGGTGGTCCCAGGGCGAATGGATTGTCCAGGCGGCGTTGGCCCGTCCCCTGCTCGGAGCCCGCCAAACCGTCCCGCGCTCCGAGATCCGGGCGTTTTGTTTAGCTTTAGAAGAGATCCCTGGGCCGTTCGTTTTCGTTACAGACCACTTGTCGGTCGCTAAGAAGTGGCGTTTTAAAATGGAGAACCCGAGCCCGACTGGGGCTAATGAAGATTTGTGGACCAGGGCCCGCGTGTCCTGGAGTTCTAGGCCAGATACCGCCACTGTCGAAGTGCAGTGGACACCCTCTCACACGGATGAATCCCCTGAGCTGCTGACAACCGAGCTGCAGTTAGAGACTGCGGTTGGTAATGCGGTAGCTGACATATGGGCGGGAGAGGGGGCGGAGCTGGCTTGGGAGTTCGGTTTGGTTGGGGAGAACCCGCAGACAGATAGAATTGATGCCATTGCCAGTTTAGTGCGGCGGCGCGCGAGACGAGCGTTGGCCGACTCAGCGAGTGCAGAAGTCCAAGCGAAGAATGGAAGGCAGGAGGTTGCGAAGCGACCCCCAGCTAACAAGTGTGCGGTAGCAGTTCGAGAGTCGGCCCACCGCCTTGAGAAGTCGGGCACGGGTTGGAGGTGTGCGGTGTGTGATCAGGTGGTGCCAGGCTCTCGACTGCTCAAGTTTTCGGCCACCCCTTGTGCAGGCAGGGCCATCCCAGAGGGACAGAGGCCCCCAGATGTGATTCAGACCCCCAGAAGGTTCGTGGCGGGGGCCTTTGAGTTTCACGAAACTCATGCTATGTTTTATGTGGACAAGTGGTTCATGCATGCCTGCAGCAAATGTGGTCGTTACGCTACGGTAGATGGTAGGCATATCAGCAAGCGATGTGAGGGACTGACCCCCAAGGGGACCGAGAACCTCACTCGAATTCGCAAGGGTATATATCCCAGGAGGGAGGGGCCCCCCCAAGCCGTAGTGGAGGCTATGGCGGCGCGTGATCGTGAGAGGGTGGTGTCGTCTCACGTCGGTCGTTCGTGCGAGGGTGAAGCGCCAGGGGGCCCCTCCCTCGCCCCTCCCCCACCGCCCGTCCCAGCGGAGGCAAGGCCCGCCGCCCAGGAGAGAGCTGCGCCGCTTCGGAGTGCACAGGCTCTACGACGGGAGCCGCCCCGTTTATCTTTTGGGGCGGTGGGAGGAGGAGGCGATTCAGGCAGTTCAGACTAACCCCATAGGTGGGTAATTTTGTGGAGGACAGAGGTCCGCTCTCATAGCATTCCCATAGCATTCCCTCCTCCCTCCTCCCTCCTCCTCCTCCTCCTCCTCCTCCTCCTCCTCCTCCTCCTCCTCCTCCTCCTCCTGTGGAGGAAGCGTGCGGACGCCAGACGTAGCTCTCCAGAGGCGAGCTGGTCGAGGTTCGAGGCTGTCGGGCGTTTTCTCGTCGGTCCTTGGCGGCTGCTCGGCCTCGGCGTGGCTTCCAGCAGCCGCGCCTCGCCAGGAGCGCT